ATTTCCCCTTTTGGGCCCAGCCCTGGCCACTAGGGTTGGGGTAGGAATCCCAATTTTACGATTTTGTAGCCTCATCTACCCAGGATGATTCTGACCAAGTTTGAAAAAATTCCATCCACTGGTTCTTGAGTAGAAGTTGATAACGTAAAAAGTTTACGCACGACGGACGACGACCGACGGAAAGTGATTGGAATAGGTCATTTCAGCAAAGCTCAGGTGACCTAAAAATTAGACAGTGTGTGGTCTGAACACAAATTCTTCATACTTGTTACTGTCTTTTCACAAGTCAGTTTCTCTGCCTCACTTTAGTTGCGTCACAGAGGGAAGGTGCTCCCAACAATTCTGCAGCCAACAACAACAATGCATGTACTGGAAGAACTATGATCTTTGTTGAAGTAAGAAACATAAAGGATATGTTTACGGCCAACAGTTTGCTTTGATACCAGAAAAAAGTGTCAGTAAGACAGTACTACATGTACTAATAGTTACTTTTTATATATAAATTTTACCAATAAAGTGATATAGTTTATATATGAATTTTCAGGTGATAGCAACAGGAGATTTTAAACAACTGCCTCTCGTGCCAAATAGAAGATTATCTAATGATGGATCACATTGCTTCCTCAGTGAATCATTTGCCAGGACATTTCCACACCACACCAATTTAAAAGAGGTTTGTATAATGATGTCTGAAGCATTCATACTTCTATATAGCTGTAAAATAATATCTTTCCATGCTCAACCTTTCGAAGGATATCCAAAAACTTTTCCATGGTAATGTTAATGATGCATTGCTAACTTTGGGTAGGCAGGTAGGTGGTTTGGGCTTACTACCAGTCATTGGCTTAATTAGTACAGAGCATGAGCTCGGCATGAAACATAGGCTTATGGTCTGGCATAATTTTATCTGCTTAAATCTTGGATATACAGATAAATTATGATTTGTAGGAAATGATATTATTTAACCGCTTCTTTCAGGTTGTCAGACAAAATGAGGAGGATTTGGTCCAAGCTATTAATCAGCTATGTGATGGAAGTCCTTTAAAGGAAACAGAGCAGCTCTTGCAAAGGCTGAACAGACCCATCCATAACCCAGTGAGCATGGTGAAGTTGTTTGGGACAAACTTTGATGCTGACTACGTCAATCATGAGATGCCCGACATTATGGAAGGCAATGATCGCATTTACATATGAAGGTAAAGGTTTATCCACTAAGCACTTTAATGCATTGTTCTCAGAACATTTTATGTAGTGGTCATTTCAATCCAGAAATAGACCCAATGATTATTTACAAGAATGAAGTGTCCTTGGCCCAAGGATCATTCAGACCTTATTGGAATGAAATGCCTTAATTCCAATGGTTTGGTTTGGTTTAATTTTGTTTAACGTCCTATATATAGATAAGGTCATTTAATGACGTGCCTCCATGTGTGTAGTGTATGTGTGCTTGCATATGTGTATGCATGAGACAGTGTATGGTTGTCCGCGCTATCTCACTGAAATGCCGCCCGGTCACATTATACTGACAACGGGTGAACCTGTTGTTGTCATTCCCCTTAATGCTGAACGTTAAGCAGGGAATAACAACTACCATTTTCAAGAACTTTGGTATGTCCTCTCACCCGACAGGTATTTAGAGGTAGAAAGAAAGATAAAATCTATGGGCGCAGCAGAATTATTTTGTTCCCTTTTGTGTCCCAAAATAGAGAACACTTAAGCAAATCCCCAACTCTGAAGAGGGTTCCCACATTGGAGATTTTGTTTGTTTGTTTGATTTTGTTTAACGTCCTATTAACAGCTAAGGTCATTTAAGGACCGCCTCCCCTGTGTGCAAGATTCATCATGCGTGTAGTGTATGTGTGTGTATTTTGGGAGGCTGCGATATGTTCGTGTGTGTCTCCTTGTGATAGCGCGGAACTTATGCCGACTATATAGTGCTACCTTACTGAAACATACTACCGAAGACACCCAGCAGGACGCCCCACCCAGTCACATTATACTGACAACGGGCGAACCATTCGTCCCACTCCTAATTTGCTGAGCGTTAAGCAGGAGTAGAAACTACCGTTTTTAATGACTTTGGTATGTCTCGGCCTAGGGACAGAACCCAAAGCCTTCCTCACTGGGGCGAACGCTCAACAAATGGTCAAAAGTGAGGCATTGTCAAAGGAGACATTAGGAAGAAGAAAGTTATTTAGAAAGGAGAAAGTTATTTAGAAAGGAGAGAAGAGATAAGGTCCCAAATTTAGTCGCCTCTTACGATCATGCAATTGGGGGCAGCAGGTACAATTCTTACGCCCTACCTGCAGGGTCATCCCACATTGGAGAAGAAGGTTTTTAAAAGGTTACCTCCATTTGGGCTATTTTGCCCCACCCCTCTGCCCCCAGGGAGACACAACCACCGGTTATACAAAATTGAGTCCCCATTGCCCAACATTTAGTTAAAATCCACTTAGCCGTATTGTTTATAGGACGCAGGTTGCGCCATGGTATAATGGCTAACACTACTAAACCATCACACCATTAAAAGTCCATTAAAATGGCCTAACCCCTTAAAATAAACCATTAATTCTCGTGTGAAATTTGTAATGGCCATTACTGATTGACCATTAAATTCAGAATTATCCCATAAAAAAGCCTTGAAAATGACTTTTACAGTCATAAAATTATTAAAGAAAACATTTAATGGCCATTAATTCTCGTTTCAATGACAATAATGGGCATTAAGTAATGTATTTAATGGCCATGAACAGATATCATTTTTTCATGGGCATTATTTTGTTGGGGGGTACAGTATTTTCTTTTTGGAGGAAGGTAATGGCCATTAATTCTTAATATTAAGATTTTCTTCTCATTTAATGGCCATGAATGTGAAGATTTTTCACATGCATGGTCACTATTTTTTTTAATCATTGACAACGATTTTAATGGCCATTTAACCTGCAGCATTACGATTTTAATGGCCATTAAACCTGCAGCAACATTGTATTACATTTTCACCAGTGAAATATAAGAAATTATCAATTCGATAAAAACTCGAATTTTCATTGTAGTGCAGATATATACAGAAAGATATTTTGACAAGTAAGGATATATTAGGACTTCTTTTTGTAAAGGTTAATTGTAATTATTATATCCCTGCAGTGCAACCTAATTTGGAAATAAAGACTGAACAAAGACTGAATCTTTTCTTCCATTGTTTATAATTTTTATATTGTTATTGAATAATATAATGCATCATGTAATGCATAAATTGTAATGCATAATATGCATAGCTTTTATTGCAGTGAGTTGAGGGCACTATGGTGTCATAGTGTTGTGGAAGGATGGTAACAGTTCCAGAGCCGGAGGCGAGGGCTCTATTATATATATATCTTCCTGAGACAACACTATGCCACAATATATAGTGCCCTCAACACTGCAATCAGAATGGTAAGTACATATTGTACATCACATGACACTAAGGATTCTATCATCTACGTATACGGTAGCAAAAACATTGGCGTCAACAATACCACTCTGCATTTTCTTTGTTAGCGACACATTTAACGGGAAACTATGGATTCCGGAACAAGCGATAGTGCAGTGAGAAACAGCTCTTATAAGTTTCTGATAATGACCAGCAGTCATCGTAGATTTTAACATGTACATGTATAGGGTAAACATGGGTAGGTTCGGACAGTATAATAAGGCATCAAAACCGATTTTAAGGAAGGGTCTGTGTCCATCTTTTGCTTTTCATTATTTCACTTTCTTTTCCCTCTGTAGTTACATAACCAGATTGAGCCATCTGTGAAATCATGGCCTGTAACTAATGGTAATGACAATGAATTTGCATGGACATACTGATTTCTTACATGATTATCTGAGGAGATAAACCACAAACCACTCTCAACGTCATATTCTGTATCTTGGAACATTTCAACACATGCTACAGTGTCACTTTCATTTTTGTCATTAATATGTTCCATAAAATACTGTATCCTTCCAAAAGCTGCAAATTTGTTATTGATTAATTTGTGGCTAGGATTACCTCTGTCATTTTCTACACACACATAAGAGGAAACAGTTTTTCGATAGCCAGTATGTTGTTCAAATGACATATACAACAGTATTTCACCTTTCTGTTAAACTTTGAATGGTTGACATTAACAGACTTTGAAATTTTCCCCACAGTACAACTGTCTTTGGCACATTCATGTGTACATTGCTTGTGTACAACCCTCAATTTTCGTTGTCCTAAAGTTATTTTGTTTTTCTCAGAAATGCTTCTTTCTGATTCATGATTAGCACTTTCAACATCTTCAAGTTCTTGATATAAAGCTGATTCAAGATTGGAGTCCATGTCAATACGACCAGTGGATATCATAAACTGGCACCAGTCATACAGAAGGTAGGTTTCAATGGCACTAGCCTCCGGATGACACATATTAAGAGTTACTTTGCAAATCCAGCTAATGAATCTCCCAAACACATACATCCATGTCCCATAGACTGGACCGAATGCTCTAATTCCTTCTATGACATGATGTAATATGTGTGTTGTTATATTTTGTAAACCAATCGGAAAGTCTCGTTCCAAGCATGCAAGAGCAATATTCAGTTCCTCTTCAATCTTGTCCAGGTCATCAAAACACTGATTTTCACTGCACATACTTGCGAAACAATCCAGCAACATGAATAATGTCCTTCTTTGGTTTGTTCCCAGTAACTCCCTGAGGCAAAACTTCAATATTCCCTGAGATGCGAGTTGCTTCCAGTCATGCGATTTTAAACTAAACGTCTTTGAAAAGAAAGCTGCAGATACTAAACCAAATCCTTCTGGCAGAGTTAGTGATAACGCACGATGATTAGCCATCTTTATTTCTTCATCAGACAGAAAAAAAGGGAAATTCAGCTCTATCTGTTTCCTGTTGACTTTCATTTTCGACTTCATTTGCAGATTGTCCAGTTGACTTTCGCTTTCTCTTCTTGGCTTAAGTTTTTGATGACTGATTATGTTAATCCAGTGGGGTACCAGTAAAATTTGAAAAACGTTCATAGTGTTGCTCAGCACTTGCTAACCTCTCTTTGTTCACATTTTTACGGCTAATACGATGAATTATGTTCTGTATTACATCTTTGATGGTGTGACATGCATCAGGAACACATTCCTCTGGTCTGTTGTGATCCGTTAGTTTTTGTAAAGGGTATTTGCCTTTGCATCCAGTTGCCTTTGATACAGCTTTTGCTTGGGTTTTATTTTGAGCACTTTCAAATGCTTCTCTATATTCCTTCTCCTTCTCAATCGAACGTAGCTCAGGCTTGCAAGTGTTATCTACTTTCTTTTCACAAAAGTTTGTGACATCAAATCTGATAGGATTGTCTTTCTGTAAATATGACCGATTACTCAGGTAAACAACCTTCTGCAATTGAGCACAGTGAAAACCGTTCACATTACACCAATGACATCCGAGTAAGCTTCCACTGCCATGTTGGTGGAATAGCTTTGATAATCCTGGATAGTCCAACACATAAAGTAATAGCTTTAACTTGACATCCACTGGAGCTTTACTGTAAGCAGAATACATTGTGCAACCAGTTAGGGAGAGTAATTCGTCTACAAGTATTTCCACATAAGCATCAATATTGGAATCAGAATGGTTTTTCTTCCCCTTGATGATTCCTACCAGCATGATATTCTTGAAGCAGTTCCGCACTTGTCGTGGCAGGTTCAAAATTGTCATCATCATTGGGGTCATGGAATAAATTACACCAATGTTATGATACGGATTAACTCCGTCAACCTCAAGTGCAAAAGATAGTCCCAATTTATCACCTCTGAAGTAGCCACTTTCTGCATATACTTCCTTCCACTTATCCCACATTTGGTTGTTTTTCTGAAGCACTTCATTTGTTGAACCTGGATGGCTTTGAACTATTTTGCATAAATTTTCCTCCCTATAGATCCGAGCTAACCTTTGTCCAATAGGAATATAATGAAATGTTCTTCTAGGTATTTTGTTCTTTTCATTCTTGTACCTATTTTCAGAACAGGTAGGACACATTGTAAGGTGTGCATATTTGTATTTGTCACTGTTTCTGTACATGATGCAATCATTTGGACAGACATGGAAAGTAACTTTATCTATAGTGTAATCCTTTACCATTGCTGTCGCCTCACGATATGAAGATGGAAGATACTCACAATTTGACACAAGCCTCTTTTGTACTTTTAACATATTACTAAATGCTTCCTTACTCATACCCGGATGTGATGTAAAAACACTCAAATTCATAGCAATCCACTGTAAAACAGTCAGGTCATATCCAGGTATCTGTTTCATAGCTACTCCAGAAGTATACAAGCTACTGTCATCAGAGAAATACCATTTCAATAATGGCTTTCTGAACATGAATCCATGAATGTTTGGTTTCTTCATACCCATCACTGCTTTCAGGCGTTTCAGGGTCAGAGTATGAATCTGTCAAGTCCTCATTTTCAGAGGATTCTGAATTTGATTCCAAGGTATATGTAGTTTTTCTGGAATGTGACATCTGTACTTCCATATCACTGAAAAATAATTTTTAAAAATTAGTTTGAACTTAAATGGTTTAGATAATCTAAATATGGGCACAGGCATAATTTATATATCCATATCTTAAATGTTATCAATGACGACTTTAAAGTAATATTCACCATACTAAAATTATTTCATTTTCCCATGACGACTGGTTACCAGTATATATATCCAATACCGTAGTAATTTTAATAAGTCCATGATATTTAGTATCATTCCATATTTGATAACTTACATCCAATCGATGTACAATATAATGTGTGTAATTATATTTGTCATGAATACTTCACTATTGAAAGTTTGATGATAAAACATGGCAAAACTGGCAGTGTTGTTTCGCAAGAAAAACAATTAATTTGTCGGTTCCATGGCAGCCCACGCTCACGATAAATAAAATTTCCCTCTTCTTTTTTTTCTTCTTTATATTGTTTTTTTTTTTTTAAATGTAGAATACATTTATCATTAAGGGAATTTTTGTACCAAAACAGCTTTAAAGTGAAACTCACCTATCGTCACTATCAGAATGTGCAGCTTTGGCCTCCTCATAATCATTAAAACCATACGTTTCATGTTCAGCAGCTCTAGTACCAGAAGAGCTGGAATAAAATAATACAATAAAAGTTAATATATTTCATCAATTCACATTATCACAATAGATGGATATCATTATGTGGTCATCAAATTATTCAGAGCAAGCCAACGTAGACAGTTATATGATGAGTTATTGTAAGGGAAATTATCGTGATTTTGTAAAAAATAAATTGCATTTGAAATGCTTTTACTTTCCTTTTGTATCATTATGTTTACAGTATGTTTATATGTCATTCATGTATGTACATATGTCTGAGTGTACATCTTTGTATTTATATACTGTATTAAATATTTACATACTGTCTGTTGTTCAGATTTGCATTACGATTTTGTATTTAAATTTTATTTTATTGACAAAGAGTTTTATTCTATTACAATGATTTAGATTATCAGGTTGCGACAGTATTTTAAATAAAAAGGCAGATTAATATAACAGTGACGTTGTTTTACATGATACGAAATGACACAATTAAAAAAAATCAATCTTGGTTTCCACGAACACATGGCAGAAATATTTTTCGAGATACGTCGCTCTGTCACGCTTGCATTAATTGGCAACTTGTTAGATCGGTATTGTATTGTTTATGGATATATATATATAGATGTTATTCTTTGTAAAACTGCGATCGTGATCAACTGTCAATGCGAACACGTGAATGTTGCCTTTCTGCAAATTCTGGATGTGGGTGGCCCCCAACTTCGATATTGCAATCGCCCTCCTCCTCCGATTGGAATTCAGCGATTCCATATTTCCGCGTATGTTGTAATCTTAGATAACGTAATATGTTTGGTCCTTCTCCTTTACATAAATTGCAAGTGCATTGCCTAGACATTCATCATTTATTTCCTTCGTTGAGCTGCAGCTTCGTATATAAACACGTGTACGAAGTAGCTATAACGCTTGAACAGCGATGTGTATATAGTCCTCACAATCAAGCGCTTAAGTGACCCGACATCTTACACCTAAACTGGGCCGTTTTCGTTTAAACGGTCAAACCGGTTGAACCACTGTTGTTCGTTAATTAGATAAGGTCGGACCTGGTAATCTGATGCTGCTTTCAGGCGAGCCTTGACCAAGCTTTGCAAGGCCTGCATAAACATTTGCAGGTCCGCCAGGATTTATACCCGAAGTTGTTACATTTATAAACGGTCAAACCGGTTGTTCCGCATAAACGAACAGGTCCCTGGTTCTCTGTTGTCGATGACGTCACATGGACAAGTCGGACACCGCGCGAAAAAAACAGAACGATGGAGAGCAGCAGCAGACTTTTCACGCTATTCACTGGTAAGATATTTCCGTACATTTTTTGATGTAATAATTGCCAATCTATATCTAAATGTTTTTCTCATAGTCATATGTCTCTGACCTGTAGAACCAAAACGGACTTGGAAATCTTTGAAATGTTATATCTTATCATAATTTCGGTTAAAATTAACGGCGTTGGTAATATGTTCATGCAATAGAAACAGATTAATATTATATATGGGCCATACATACTCTGTGATAACATCAAGAAAGCTTTATAAAGGGTTAGTCGAGTTTGTTTGTTTATGTTTAACGGCCCATCGACGGCTGTGGTCATTTAGGGCCATGGTGTTTTTTTTTTTTGTTTTTTTTTTACTTTTTTAACAAACATGTGAATAGCGAAGATAAAATCAGATAAAATGGTTCATTTTAAAATTATTAGCATTGTATGTGTAGATAATAAAAAATAATAAAAGGGGGTTAAAATAATAAAAGAGATAACGAATAGATGATATGGAATATGCGATATATATATATAACGTCAAAAATGATAAGGTGGGTTAAAAGACATCAGAGTCTATAAAATATTAGTCGAGGTGTGCACGTTCTGCATTACAAATGGTTTTGAGATGTTCCCCAAATTTGCTATTCTAGGTGTCCGTTTCCTCGCTCGGTCTACCTCAAAAGGAGAAAGGTCTATTAGCGCGGATCAACGACCATAATCCTGAAAGACCAATGATTCATTTCACATGATGTTGTCTCTAATTTTTTCAACACACCCATTGACGATGCACTTAAAATCAATCGGAAACGCTTTGAACAAGACAAAAGCTGGTGTTAGAACACAAAACTCCAGATTCAGGACATCATAGATTTTGTGCTGACACTTTTCAAATTTTACTTTCCTAGACAATATATATGAGTAACGCATTGGCGCTGCTATGGGTAGTCCAGTGTCTCTTTTTGAAATCAATTTTGATTTTACAGACAGAGGTTACTATCAGCCGCCAATGCATATGCTTGGAAATGGTGCCTTTCAACCTTGCTATGTGCTCAGTACCAGCACCAACAACACCAGCTCAACAAATGGATCAAGACAGACTTTCTTATTGTCCGATGCCGGCATGAGGTGCTGGGATAGTGTTCCGGGGTCCACGGATTCAAAATTCATGCCTTCGCCATACGCTTCCACACTCCATTCTGTAATTTACAAACATTGCTTGACCTGCTTTTCGTATGACAATTAAAACAATATGTGGTTGACGAAATTCAAACCGACAATTCATTTTTTTTGATTGATAAACAAGTCTTGGAGGAGTTGAGAAGGAAGAAAGGGAATTTGCACTAAATCATTTTGATGCCTATGACCAACACAGACACTGTCGATGCAGACTTCGCTGATTACATAATTGATGACAGTTTTGAATTGAGTGACTCAGCAAATACTAGTATCTTGAACATTATCACAGACTTTATCATGGCAAACGATGAATCAAGAGTTACCTGACCCTGAGACAGCTGTGCCATCTGACCCCGAGACATCTGTGCCACCTGCACATGAGACGGGCAACATACCTTCCCATGAAGCGTCCAAGACATCTATCTTACAGACTGCCAGTCTGCAGAAGAGGTAATATTTTATACTCATATACACATATTTGTTTTATTGTGGGCACATTTTTGATATATAACAATAATACAAAAGCGATGTTTAGCCTTTTATAGGCATGCTAATAATATTGATCTAATACAAATTGACATTGTAGGTTAGATGCAAAAGACTAAAATACATCATGACTAATTAACTAACACCATTTGTACATGTAGCAAGCACAAACAATCAGAAACAAAACTGTTCCAATTAATGCAATGAAAAACAGTTTGGTTTTATAACTGCCTGCAGGTATAAAACTGGAGACCATATTATGGTCAAACATGGACAGTCGTTCTTTCCGGCAGTTGTAAGTGTTGAAAAGTGCTTAACTGTTAATTACTTCTTAGTATTAACAGTTACCAATGTTTACTTGTTAATGTTACCAGTTACCAATCTTTACTTCTTAGTATTAACAGTTACCAATCTTTACTTCTTAGTATTAACAGTTACCAATGTTTACTTGTTAATGTTACCAGTTACCGATGTTTACTTCTTCGTATTAACAGTTACCAATGTTTACTTATTAATGTTACCAGTTACCGATGTTTACTTCTTAGTATTAACAGTTACCAATGTTTACTTGTTAATGTTATCAGTTACCAATGTTTACTTCTTAGTATTAACAGTTACCAATGTTTACTTCTTAGTATTAACAGTTACTAATGTTTACTTGTTAATCTTACCAGTTACCGATGTTTACTTACCGGTATTAGTATTAACAGTTACCAAGGTTTATTTTTTTGCTAGGTAGTGTTATCATTTTTTTATTTGGTAGTTTTACCAGAAGATTATTCTAAACGGTTACAGAGGGTTGCTTGTTAACTAACACTAGTATGGTATTTTGAATCGATGAACAGGTTGTTGCATAAGTAACACTTGCAGAAGACAAAACAACATTAAATAGATGCACAAGTGAATTATGTTGAAAAGTAATCAGTCTTGAGATAGATCTATTTCTTACCATGGTTATGTCCCTTAAGATTACTGACTGTTTTTCTTTTTACAAAATAGAATATGCTTCAATATTGTATAAAACAATATTTTTTTGAAATACATTTAGGTTGACCATTGGTCATGGGTCAAGTTTTTTACGAAGGCGAAGAAGGGTTTTTGGGTTTTGAACTGCACACGGTCCTTGTAACTGATGTAGATGTCACACTTCAACCACCAGACTTGACGATGTGTGGAACAATCGTATTGTGACAGGATCTACTTTTTTGAGCCAAGAACGAAGAGAAAGGATAGACAACGCACTTTATATACTAATCGTTGGGAAAGTGATGCCTCCCAGCCTAGTTGAAAATGAACATTTTATCACTTTCTTAAAAGAATTGGATCCAAGGTATATATAGTCATGGTGAAGTTGAACCTAAATTGTTCTCTTTAGTCAGACCCAACAGCAGATAATTATGATATTATGTAAATTACAACAGCACAATAGTCTGCCAATAAACACATTCCATGTTTCATGTTAAGGAAAGTTCATTGTCTTGACTTTTATAAACTTGGTGGAATGAAACAGTAACATCCAATGATAATTTTCAGTACAGTTTGTATTTAGAATTAAGAATAATCTTAGAATGTATTCAAGCATCCTGAGAAGAAACATTTCAAACTGAAACGAAACAAGGTTACCGCGAGCGGTATATAATACGCCCGTCACACATTGAATGAGCAGTTGTTTGTATGATTGAAATATATGAAGTATTTGTGAGTAATTGATATTAAAAGAGAAATCATTCAACATAACTGGTAGATCAATGAGTGCAATACAACATCATGGAACGCATGCATCGCATTAATGAAACCAAGGGTAATAACTCCA